ATGCCCAGCACAACAGAGCTGCCGATGGACCCACTGGAAGTGGCCGCCCCTGCTCTCACAAGCCCAGCACACTGAGATGACCTCTGATTCCATGTCCTACTGAGTGGGTCATCCACGTGGGACCACACCAGGCCCTTTTGCCTCCTCTCACCTCAGATGTCATCAAATGTATTGTTCAAAGGTGTACCTTCTTGTCAAAACAAAACATAAAGGCCTCCTGCTGTTGCTGTGGTGACCATTTCTCTGTGGTTCAGGCAGAGGTCAGAGAAGCCCAGGAAACTCAGACAAGGGGAACTGGGATAACCAATGAAGGAAGCCAGACAGACACAGCACACAGAACAGCGCCCGTATGTGCAAACCATGCACACGGAGAAGGGCTAAGGAGGCAAGGGTCAGGCAGCAGGGGCCTGAGGACAGAAAGCAGGGTGCTGCGGTTGAATGTCACCCTTTAGAAAGATTACTTGTTATCTTACTCCACAGTCTGTAGTGACATCTTAGTTAGGTTTCAGCTTCCAAAATGCCTGACCCACAACAGCTACAGCAGCCACTTATGCCCCAGAGCCTCAGGGCTCTCCATTGCAGCTGTCGCTCCTGGGTAGGGACCTGTCTCTGCTAAGCCAGAAGAGGCTCAGGAGCCCCAGGGAGAAACCACAGATTGGGCTGCAAGTGCTGGCTTCACGAGAGCTCAGAGCAACTGTAGCCCATGAAACAGCATGGGGTTTTACTTTGACAGACTCTCACCTGGCAGGTTAGACTTGGAGAGAAAATCCAGGCAAAGCCCTCCCTGTTAGAAAGCATTTAATCAAGAGGTATCATGGGGAGGGATTGATTTTTTCAAGACAGAGCTACTCTGAAATCAAAAGCCACAGAATAACTGCACTTCAGGGTTTCCAGGGTCACCCCACCAAGGACTGGGTGGGAAATGGTCACAAGAGACAACCATGGAGAAGGAGAAGGCTAGTTAGAGATGCCCCGAGAAGCTGAAGCTCAGGTCAGAAAGGATGTGGGGATTCCCAGCCACTGGCAGTGGGAAGCCAGCTGGTTGCCTGTGGATTCTGGAGTGCGCTGGGGTCTGAAAGGGCCGGTATTTAATCCAGCAACTGCCTGAGCTCCCTGCCCCCAGCCTGAAGCCAGCAAGAGGTCAGTCTCCTTTCCACATCTTCGAACAGTCAGAGGTGCTCCATGGCTAGCACCACGGCCACAGCCTGGAGCGCACAGACCCACGGGCTGGCACCTCACAAATCCACAAACCATAAAGCTGGGGAGAAAGCAGCAAGCTGGGGCAGAAGGAACAGAAACCAGAAGCTGCTGAATAAATACAGTCCCAGCACAGATACCAACAGGGAAGGCTGGGCACGACATTTGCATACAAAACTGTGGGAGTAAAAACAAAACAGGATGTAGTGAATCGCTGTCTCTCCCCAGACAGGCAGGTTCTAATAATAGCCATTTCTAGAAACTTCTCATTCAAGCATATGGAGGAATTTTTGGACTCATTTCTCTTTTTCTTTATTGGATTTGGGAGGTTGTTGTTTCCGTTTTCTATTTCTTTTTTCTTTATTCCTTTTTTGTTCTTTGTTATTTCTTCTTTTTGTCGTTTACTCTTTTCTGTTACTTTTATCTAATCATATTGATTTTCTTTTACTTAATCAGATCATTTATTTCACTTTTCTTGCCTCCTTCTCATCTTCTATTTTCAAATTTTGCATCCTTTGTTTTCCATTGCCATACTCACTCCATTTTTATTACCATTAATATTATACACCTTAGATATGCCTCTTAGATATTTAGGTGACTGCTGTTACTGTTGAATTCTTTTATACTGCTAATGGTGGAAGAGTTGTTGAAGTTAGTAGATTTTTACTGTATGTCAATACTTGGTCTGTTTGTGGTTACATTATTACTGCTGACTTCTATTATTAAGGCGGTACAGTGATAGCTTTTATTGGTTCTTATGGGATATCAAAACCAATTTATCTTTGACCCTTACTGCTGCTGATTTTCTTTCTTCCACAGGAGGCAGCAGGAAGAAGCTGAGCACAGGAGCCAGACCCAAGCCAGGCTCAGCTGGATGAGTTCAAACTTGGTAGAACCAGACCTGGTAAGCTAAGACATACTGCTAGACCCAGATCTATGAGAGTGCTAAGGTCATAACTCACCAAAGGTCAGAGGACAGTGCTATACAAAATGACAAAGAGGAGCAAAATGCAATCTCATGCTCCGAGCCCACCCAGAACAAATGCAGCAAACACTAGCATAGAAGAAATTGGAAGTCACACTCCTGAAGTCTCTGAAATAGCATCTGAAGTAAAGAAAGAACCACAGAAAAGTATAGAAGTAATCAGGTCAGAAATAATCTCTGAAGTAAAAAAAGAAATGACAACTATAATGAAAGAATTACTAGGGCTGGCCAAATAGCTCAGCAGATTAAAGCACCTGCAAGCAGGTGCGGGGGCCAGGAGTTCGATCCCCAGGCCTGCCATGCTGGCCCTGCCCCTGGGGTGCACTGAGATGGCAACTGAGGCCAGGCATGGTGGCATGTGCCTGTAATCCCAGCTCTTGGGAGGCTACACACAGATGGACCACTACCAGTCCACTTTAGTGTAGTGAGACCCTGAACACCCTGTAGACCCTTCCCTAATATACACACAAAAAAAAAGGAATTACTAAGTGCTTCTAAAGAAGACACTGATTAAAAAAAAAATAGAGGAGAATAGAAAAATGATGGGATTCTTGAATGAGCAATATAGGAAAGAAACAGAATGCATGAAGCAGATGCAGAGAGACGTACAGGAGATTAAAATCGCAGTCACAAGTTGGCAAAGCCATTCGAGTGAAAGCGAGGGTAGACTTTCAGACCTTGAAGACACTGTTGCAGCTAGTGAAGAGATAAGAAAAGATCTCTTAAAAACAACTAGGATCAGGACAAAATAATTGAAGATGAACATCTGCAAGATGAACAACATAAGACTAATAGGCACCAATGAGAAAGGAGTCAATACAGATGATAGAAAAAGCATATGAGCAGACATAATAGCAGAAAACTTCCCAAATCTGGGGAAACAATCTGGCATTCTGGTAACTGAAGTGTACAGAACTCCAAATAACATCAACCCAATTAGAACCACACTCAGACATATAATAAAGATCCCAGAAATTCAACACAAGAAAAACTGCTAGAGAAAAAGCTACTTTCTCTACTAAAAGCCACCAGAGAAAAGAAACTTCACATTTAAAGGAAAACCAATCAGAATAATGGCAGATTGCACAAACCATCAAGTCAAGAAGAGTGTGGAGGAAAGTACTTCAAGTTTTGCAGGGTACATCAGTCTGTTTGGAACAGAGAAGTGAAATACTTCCATGACAACGCTAAAGAATTTCATGACGACAAAGCC